CCAAGTCTCAGTTTTCAATTCCATTTAATTTCACTTTAGTGTATCATCGTTATGTTGTCCGTTGGTTGTTCAGTTTTCATTGAAGATTCACATTATTCCTCTTCCCTCCTTCCCTCCCTTCCAAAAAAGTGAAAGAAAAGAAAGTAATAATAAAATAAAAGCAAGACTAGAAAAAAAAAATGGAAAAGAAAGGAATGAAAGGGAAGGGAGAAAAAAAAGTGAAATTTTTTTCCTCATTAAACATCCATTGAGTTCATCTTTTATTTATTAATGAAATTGTCAGCTTCAATTGCTTGTTAAGGTCCTCAGAATTTTTCTTTCCCAATTTTTGTGTGTTTTTGTTTTGGTTGACTTTCCTCTTTTTTTTTTTTATTAGAACAAATGAGTTGAAGATAAAATGAACGGGAAAGACAGTGTTCAGGAGGAGAATAGTTGGAAACCAAAGCAAAAAAAAAAAAGAATTAAAATAGAATAAATATTCAACAACAGCAGCAGCAACAACGGCAACAATCCATCTGCTAAAGCAAACTGTCGCAAATGATCACCACAAATTGGCATCGTTTGAATTTGATGCGGGTATCCCAAAAAAAAATTAAATTTTTATTGCATACAGCTGTAAGGAAACTGTTCACAAGGGTTTTCAATTTTTATTTTTCAATTTTCCTTTTTTTTTTTTTCTTTCTAAACAAAAAAAAAAAATTTTTTTTTTATTTCACAAACAGATCCTTCCTCGGCAATGCAATGGCAGTTTATGGTTTGTTAACACACACACAGAGCATTGATTCTTCGTTCGTTTGGCTAATCTTTTGCTGTGTTCTAACGCCACTAATCATACTTATTATTACTTATTATTGCACTATCTAAGGCAACCAACAGTTTTGCTGCTTCAGAATTCGGCGGCATTAAAGTTGTTGCTGATGACGGTGGTGTCAGATGGGACGGGAGATTGATAAAGATGTTTTGCTTTTCTTTTTTTATGACTTTTTTTTTGCCCTTTATTGAGTAATATTTAGTTTTTTCTGTTTATTTTATTTTTTTTTTTTAATCATTTTTAAGCTGTTTTCTTGTTATTACTGTTTATCGATGACCAAAAAAAAAAGAAAGAGTGTAAGGAAAAGGACTGTGATAAGTGAGAAAATAAGGAAGTAAGGCTATAAAGAAAGTATTGGAAAGATAATATAAAGTTTCAAAATTAAACATTAATGTTTTCGACAGTTAATCAATCACAGAAATGGATGCAGCGTCAAAGGTGGAACAAAAAGTTTTTTTCTTTTTAAAAATTTGAATAAATAAAGAATTTTATAAATAAGTAAATGAATAAATAAATTAAAAGAAACTAATATGCAGAAGAAAAAAAGAAAAAGTGAAAGAAAAGAAAGCTGCTTTTTTTT